CTGTTTTTCATGCCAAGGGCAGCCTTAAGTCTCGACCATGCCAATCAACTGCGTTGGATCATCTTTCTAGAAAAATGCGGGCAATTGTTTCTGAGCAGGGACTTTTTGACTTAGCAGCACTACTTGTATTGTAGGCGTGCTCTTCGTTCGATAGGATGTACTAGGCTACTTGTACAATCCACTGTGACGGATAAAAGAAACTTACGTAGTTAGAAATCCTGTGAACGTGATTAAAAGTCTCCTCAGAAGTTTTGCTTATTTTTTGGTATCAAATTCAATTCCGTTCAATGTAAGTTATTAGTTTTGAACTTTGATTAGACATGCATGTGAGTAGCTGGTACGTTATGATTAGAATGAATTTAAATCGACTCATAAAGGGCTGGAGAAACGACAAACCCATTCATTGCATGTCTATGAAATTTAAGTTTTTTTTTGTTTTTTTTTGCAATGAACTTAGCAGCCGAGTATAAAGACATAATGATAATGATTTTGGCACATTTCTCTTATTTCCTATGTTATTAAATTGCTTTATTATTGCTGTATTAAAATTTTGTGCTGCTAAGAAAGCGTTGTAGTTTGCGTGAATCAAAACTTATTGATAATATATCGCGGAAGTTTTTATTTAGTCTTTACAATATCTTTTCCGACAAACATTCATGTAAGAGAACGTGGTTTTGGTTAATTTTAAATATCATGTATCAGTGTTACTTCAATTTGCACAACAACAATTTTTCTCTGCTTATACTTAAATTTTCCTGACCTTTTCTATTTATTATTTTCCTGCTTTTTGCTTTCAATGGCAATGCTTTAAAAGATCAATTATTGGTATTAAGTACAATATCATCACACATCTTTGGGAGGCCTAGTCGATGATATCACTTTATTTGATAAAGTAGTGAGTGGAAAGGAATCAATTTCAACAATAATTTGTTCATTTGTGAGCTTCAAACCAAAAGACGCCTTAACACTTAAGCCAATATGAAGGGTTATAAAGTTGTTAACAATGACTAGAAACTTCTCTTACAATACTGCTGTTAAAACGAAAATTATTCCAAAGCATGAATGGAAAGCTTTAAGTAAGTGGTTCAAGTTATTGTTTCGTGACTGAACATGAACGTAATGATTCGAATAGTAGTGAAAACTGTGAAAATATATGGTAACGAAATTTTTATCATTATATACCAGATAAAATATTCAAGAATGTGTTTAGTTGCAGGTAATTATTCTGTGATGGATAGGCGCAGCAAGAAAAGATCGCAAAAAAATTTTTTTTCAGAAACTTCATTAAGTCCTATAACAAATGATTTTTCGAAAATATATAAGAAAGAAATTATTTTATCCTATGAAGAGGGACCGTAAAAAAAAGTCTCCCTTGGAGAATACCTCCGGACTTTACGAAATAACAAGAAAATATATAATTCAACTGAACATGCAAAAATTTTTAAAAATTTGATTTATAAGTGTTCAAGAAGTTTGTGCGAATGTATGCAATACATCGGAGGATTTTAGATAGACCCATCTCTTATTCCATCGTTTGATTTGGAGGCACTTTTTGAAGCCGGTTAAGCTTGCCTGTCCGTTCGTCTGCTTGCTTGTCCATTCATGCGCCCCTCTCTTCGTCCGGCCGTCTTTAATTTTTTTGTATTCAATCTAGCGGTCCTAGTTCTTGAGATATTTTGATGAGATTTGCTACTCTGACTGTTTTGGTTCATAGGAAAACACTTGTTAGAATGGTTCCGTATTAAGCATTAATCTTATAAGTCGTAACTATATTACGCAAAGTGATCTAGGGTACTTAATGGTGCACACAAACCTGCTGTAATGTTTTTTAATTATTTCTTTATATAAATTTAGAAAAATTACTTTATTTTTAATTTCTTCTTATTTATTTAAAGATCATATCTGTATTGTAATATTTCTCCGGTTGGGGGGGACAATAATCTCTATTATTTTTCTCACCAACGTTTTACTTATTATCTTTCTTGGATATATAGTAAGCTAAATACGTAATAAAACAAAAAACTTTACTACATACAAAGTAATATTATCCCCCAAACATAACAATTAAACTTTAGTTCTTCTAAAAAGATCATTTTTGTTAGCTGGCAGCGGAGTTAGGGACTGATTCCGGAAACCTTTAAATTTAAAGTCTTGAATAAATTCAAGATTGATTTCTTTTTTTTGCTATAACTCGGATGATGTTTCCGACCGACTGAATACTGATAATAGCTACGACCAAATATGGTCGGATTAAACCAGACTGAGAACATCGTCTTAATAATCGCGATTCTTATCTACTCGGCTATATGGTATCCAACTTGATGTTCATAACTTATTGTTGTTGTTAAATTAAATTATCCTATCTTTATGCTAGGCCGACTAACAGCTAGACTGACGGATAAAGCGGCAGATATACAAACAGGTAAAAATATATGAAAATATTTCATTGTTCATGCCAATCATCAACTTTAATCTTCCACTATGTTGTCTTCAATATGTATACTGTTCGATTAATGTAAAATACTGTTATTGTTCGCTACGCATGAATAAGGGGAATAGGGTTACCCTTAACCAGCTATCGTTTGATGCAATCGCTTTTTGAGTTGATGGCTTTCTTATTGAGTTCGGCTTCTTGGCATGTAGGACGGAATACTTGTGCCGTTATCGAAATCATTATAGTACGATGCGGTCCACTGTTAAACCCCCAAACCACTTCGTGCAAAACAGTTACTCAAATAACATTCTTTCAAAATATAGGCTCTATATATGAGAAATGGTCAAAAAAATGTCCCGATTCGAAGGATTTTCAAAAGGAGTTTGACTTTGGGCGAAGAGATTGTGATGTATCACATTTCATCAATATATCCAAAAAAATTGGGACTTATAGGTTGAACACAAAATGATAAGACGAGAAGATGCACGGACGGACGGAGAGGCAGATAGACAGGCTTAGATCGATTGAAAAAGTTATGAGTCTATCTCAAGTCTTTGTCGTTGTCGTATGCATACGCAAGCACCCCTGTACCACAAATAGTGTAAAAACTGGTGAAAATCTTGAAGTCTTTTACCCAAAAATATCAACCAAAGTGTAATAAGTTGAATAAAGTCCGCTATCGTTTATTCAAATCTAATCATGTTTTGCCTTAATGGCTAGGTTGATATTTATAAATTCCATATTAAATTTACGATCACTGAATAACATATTTCCAGGATACTTGTTAAGTACTTTCTGCTAATTATATATTTCGACCTTTTGTCGTGTACAGGATTTTTTTTCACTGATTCTGTACTCAATTATCTCTTTTCATATTTTATGGCACAACCAGGTAAAAGCATCGAAAATAATTAGTTGCTTTCATTATTTCTACCGACATTTTGCAATTTCTGAGATAAAGTAGTTTTTTTATGTTCATTAATTTTATAATGTACGCAGTTTTGTGTGACATTTCATTTTATTCTCCCTTTGAATATGAAGCTCGATAGCTATTTTAATTGCGAGGTAAGATATGATATTTTACATTTGATATTGAGTAAACATTTACGCGCTATCGAGTGCTATCAACCCAACACAAGCTGAGCATCAATGTCCGATACCGTGAACCATCAACCTAAAATAGGAAGTCAGGTTAATTAAATCACGCAAACTGTAAACCGACCCCAGTATTAATGTTATAAGAAATAAAAGCGGAAAGGTTATATAATGGGGGTAAGTGCATGAAAAAATGGTCCGATATGAACCACTTTCAACAGCTTTCTTTCTTAAGCCAGAACATGTCCTTGCACCAAATTTCATAAGAAATATCCCGAAAATTACGACCTGTAAGTTGAAATCAAAAATATAAGGCGGGTAGATGGACAGACAGAAAGTGATTCTCAGGTGACCGGTATGATAAAATGTGAAGTCTACTTCAAGTTCGTCGGGTGTTGCATCCAGCCACGCAGACTTAGTACGACCTTGTCGACCTTACACAACTGGTGTAGGATGTCATAGGTGAAAAGCGCTATAGTGGGCTATGGCCCGCCATTAAATACCCTACTCCACCATACAGTTACATAACGATTCTTGAAAATTAAGCCTTATATGAGAAGTGGTCGAAAAAGTTTTCCGATCCAAAATGTTTTCTATAACGTTCGGCCATAGGCTGAAAAACGTCAGCGTTACAAATTTAACCAAAATATCTCAAAAGTGGCGACTTTTAAGTTGAACGCAAAAAAGCAGGACGCACAGGTAAGCTTAGATCAATTCAGAAAATGAGTCTTACTTGATGCTTGTAATGAAAAATGCGGTCTGAGCTTAATATGTTCTTGCAACACAAATGTTGTAGGATACAATAAGTATGGTCTTAAATCCTATGGACTTAATACATATGATGACTATTCTCATCGCCTAGATATACATAAGGAGAGAGTATCGAAGGAGACGTGTTATCTGTCTGCAAAGTATTTTGTGGCCAGATCATAAAGATAATGAAATCGCATTTATCGAAGGGCTTATCGTTATTTAACGACCGACAACTAGTCATGTTTCGAGATTTCGTACCATCCAAAAATCGTAACGTAATCGTAATTGACGTAAAGAGACAAAAAAAAAGAGGAAGATTTACATGGTAGCGGCAGTGGAAGAAGAAAAAAGCCGTACTTTCCATAATAACAGAAAATCATCCTAAACTAATTTTTTGTAAGAAATTCTATAGCAGTTGTCACTAATAAGGCAAACTTAATATGCCCATGCACCACAAGTAGAGCAGGGTATAAAAACTTGAAAGAAAAAATTAAGTCCCTTGATAGAGCGAAAGCTTTTGTATGCACTTACGTTGAACGAAAAAAATTATTTCCAAATTGTTTCATTGTTTTATTGAAGCAAAAAAAATTTTTCTTTTTAATTTTTTTAATAACAGATATTATGAGAAAATCAATATATATATATATATATTCTGTTTGATAAAAATGTACATAAATTATAGAAATAAAACATTATTTACACACTTTTAATAAGAAATGAAATAAAAAAAAAAAATATTAATTTTTATAAATTAAAATAAATTTTTCTGATTTTCATATAAATTCTCCCATTGTTTCAGATTTTCCATTTCTGGGAGATCGATAAATTTCACTTCATCACCGATATTCAAACATTTATAGGTATTATCATTCTTGTTCAAAGGTTCCCATACAATATCCTCCAGACCCTGAATATCCGAATTGTACGGATTACCAGTTGTGGCAAATTGAGTCCATATATCAATCATACGTTCTATGGTCTTGTATTCGCGACTATCTTTGGTCATACGGCGAGCTAAAATATTCGAAAACAAAAATGCTAAATCATCGGCATGAGCGACACCTTTAACACCTCGACCCCAACGCATAATGCGATAAGGAGTGATTAATTCCTCCGTATCGAAATCGAAGCGATATAAATATACAGGCGCACTGGTTGAATGTTGAAAACGTAAATGCAATAAACGATGCATGGGAAATAGAAAATGACTATAGCCCGCAATCTGTATTCAATGGAAATCAGAAAAATAAGACAAATTGTTGTTGCTTTTGTTCACTGCAAATATTGTTCGTTTGAACTTACCTCCATTAATTTATCACTTGTGGGCTTTCCATCGACATTATGGATTGTTTTGATTTTCTTACCCAATTCCAAAGTCTCGGGACTAGAACGTTCTGTATCGGCTAATCCATCTGGTACGTAAGTAACGCATGTATCCAGTATATCAAGCAATTTTGGATTTTGCATTATTCCTTAAAAAAAAAAACACGAAAAGGAGAAAGAAATGAAACGGAAAACAGATAAGCTTCGGCTTGAGTAAATACGACGTGTGGGCAACATTATAACAGTGTACGCCTTTAGCTCTTTCTACGAAAGCAGTTAAGACGGCCGCTTTAATCGTGGCTACTACTTAGGTGGTAGCTCTTCCTAGGGCTTAGGCTACTTTCTATAATCGATACCATATTTCAGATGAAAACGATTCCTTGTCCAAGTTCGTTTTTTAAAAGTTCAACTCTTTGGTCAGCTGCATGAACGGTTTGATCAGCTTCTTGAACCCATATGTAAACGGCTTTTAAAGGATAGGCAGCGTTTACCTAATATATACTTCAGTCTTCCTTCTACGGAACTAGCTTTCGTTCTTCGTTCGTTCGTCTTTGCTCCTCTGGGACTCAGGGATCTCTTAAAGGCCGTAACCTCGCCTCGCTTCGCTCCCAAATTAAACTAATTTGGAGTAATTCGAGAAACTTTATCGTAAATTAATTCTTAGCGCAGCGAAAAAGATGGCTGTGATAAATTAAGCACTTGTTTCTAATAGGATTATGTATTCTCTCATAAAGTCGCGTAGATAAGGGCCGCGACTACCAACTCGGCGTTCGTGTGCTGAAATCTTCGTTGTGATTTGGCTGGGTTTGGTCGTCACTAACGTAGAGGTTCAGTCAAAAAAAGCATAACACCCGCCCATTGGGGCGAGTAACCGCTTCCTACTTCTTTTTTCTCTCCACTTTTTTCTGACCATTATGGTGATATCCTTAAAGGCAACAAACTCTCCATGATGCAAAAAAGCAACCTCTACCCTGTTAGTCCTTCTTTATGGCCTAGAATTCTACCTGTTCAAAATTCTCAAACCTCGTCAGCGGTATTAACTATAACATTACGTACGGTTTCTTTCTTTTTCCCCACTTCTTTGTGCTCATGGCAGTGCTACACTTATAGCCGACGCCTCTTGAGTGATTGGTCACTCAAAAGGAAGTTCGATACAAAGACTCCATAATGAAAAACAAAATTATACGCGTAATTTGATTCGTACAAAACTGAAATTTGAAATTTAATGTCTTACTTACTTGCTCTGAAGAATAAACCCTCGTATGAAGTATTGCCGAGCATCGTGGGTATTGAATTACCCCAACCAGTTTTTAACATTTCCCTTAGTTGCTTGTTCATAAAACATTCACTAGTGACGTATGGTTCTAAAGTAGGCCCAAAAGCGAACATTACATTATTTTTGGCGTCTTCGGCGGTTAGTACTTTCTCTTGATATTTAAATAAATCATATGGTTTGGCCTTTGTCAAAAATTCGTAGACATCTTTATCGTTAACATCGCCTTTGTAGCCTAATAATTGGGCCAACAGGAAAGCTCTCTGCTGGCATAGAGTGTAAGCCCAGGGACATAATACATTGCCCGATTGCAAAATAGCTCGATGGAAAAGGCCTCTAGTCTGTTCCGACATCATAAGGTAATTGGTTGAAGCACCACCAGCACTTTGTCCAAAAATGGTAATACAATCGGGATTACCACCGAAACGTGAACAATTATTTTTTATCCATTTTAGGGCTAAAACTTGATCTTTCAAACCAGCATTACCGGGTACATTTAATGATTCCGTATTAAGACTAAGAAAACCTGTAAAAAATGAGCATAATATACCATCAATATATCATAAGTTGGGCACTTCTCGCCTTTAATACTAAATATTGAGATATATCTTCAAACATGACTTTTAAAACCGTTTTCAATAAAAATTTCATGACTTTCACTTATCGTCTAACTCACATTTAAATTTTACTGAACGCTTACTTTCAGTTACCCATTAACTGACGAAACAAATGATAAAATGGCGACGGCTGATGGAACAGCTGATTATATGATGGACAAAATGAAACAAGAAAAATGTTGGGAATTCATTTGTAAGGAAAGATGCTTATTGTAAAAGAGGTAAGAACATTATAGTCTGGCGAGGCCGACCCGTAAAAACCCTACACCATCTTATCTAACACAGTTCTTATTTTTATATGAAATTACTGTTATTACTGTTACTTAGACTTCTCGGCTTTGCCTCGCGAAAATTTTTATTAGGGTGTGATCCAACATATAGGCCGAGGTGGTCCAAATTTTTCAGTTACCCATTAACTGACGAAACAGATGATAAAATGGCGACGGCTGATGGAACAGCTAATTATATGATGGACAAAATGAAACAAGAAAAATGTTGGGAATTCATTTGTAAGGAGAGATGTTTATTATAAAAGAGGTAAGAACATTATAGTCTGGCGAGGCCGACCCGTAAAAACCCTACACCATCTTATCTAACACAGTTCATATTTTTATATGAAATTACTGTTATGAGTCAATTTTCATGACCATATATTAAAACTTAGACTTCTCGGCTTTGCCTCGCGAAAATTCTTATTAGGGTGTGATCCAACATATAGGCCGAGGTGGCATAGTTAATTTTGTTTTGTTACATTACTATTTGGGTATAATTTTCATCATGAAGCATTAAAAATTATACATTTTTGTACTAAGACACTTCAATTTTCGTTACATGCAAGAGGGTTTAAATTTTCCACGATCGGTGCAATGTTTCCATACGAATTTAGAATGCCGAAATACTACCACTTAGCCACTTTTGCCAAGAAATTTTGAAAAATTCTAATATTTTTCTCTATAACGATTCTTCAGAATAGAGTGGTTTATGGGGAGGTGTTGAAAAAAATGGATCAATCCGAATAGCGTTCGTCCTTGAGTTAAGGAACGCCACTGTAGCAAATCGCTTCAAAATATCTCAAAAATTGCGACCTGTGGACAGCCAGGCGTAGATCAATTCAGTTTATGATTGTAAATCGATCGGTATAAGAAAAGGTGGGTCTACGTCCGCACTAACTTAATAAACCCGGTACCACAATTACTGTAGGGCATAACTAATAGGCAGATAGATCGATTTTGAACTTGGAAGTATATTGTACATATGTGTTAAATATAGGCTACTGTATAGCCAAGAGAATAAAAGTTGCGACCGCCAGCTCGGTGGTCGTGAGTTCGAATCCCAGTGCAAGTATATGCCATATTTGGTAAGTAGCTACTTATATAGGTAACTTAGACCTATGTTGAATTATTATTACCCTAAGACTAAAAATATTGCAAAGACTGTTTACTTTAAGCCGGAAAATAGTTATTTGTATCTATTTACTTTAACTTATGCCATACTCTCGATCGATGATCTTCTCTATAATAGCGTAGTTTAATCTTAATTGCACTGCTCAATTCAGCTGAATCTATGCTACAGCATATGTATGAATATATAGATAATTACTAGTCTTTTAAATCGTGTGTTTTATATTTTTCTCTGTGTGTTTGCCAAATTAGTTTTATGTCTCACGCACAAATTGCGAAAAGTCAATCATCATATTTAAAAAGTTAATTATAATAATCGAAGCAAACTCTATTTTGTTGAAAAGTAAATAATTTAACTTGCTTGTTAGCAAACTTTCAGTTTAAGTGAACGGCTCTAACTGATGGCATAAATGAGGGAAAACATTTGATAAAAGCAATCGTTCACAATAAGAGAATCATTCACAATGAATAAAACAGTCAATCACAATAATCTCACTAACAATTAATATAGTAGAACAAATAATATAACAATAATTTAACTTCTAGTTAAAACTGTTAATTAAAAAATCTGTTTATTCACTGATCTTACTCGTTAATTAAGAATACATCTTCTAATCTTTGGTGTTTTTCGTCAATTTTTACAAATGCTAGAGTTCAGAAAATATACCACAATAAAGAACAGTCGATCATGTCTAATCAAGTCCACGGAAAATTTCTAGACTACCTCAGATATAAGAAATCCCTTGCACTACTATTCTTTGATTGTTGAGGCACAGTTTGCCTATTGCTTCGCTTCTCCACACTTCGACATAAATTCCAAATTTGGCATATTTGGGTCTAGCTCCGAAGAAAACTTTTCCCTTCCGCCTCCAACATCCAAGAATATGCTTCAAAAAGTCCACAGAATGAGTGTACTTTTTAACTTTATAAGACCCTGAAGCAATTTAGCCACATTCGTCCATCAATCCATCTATGCATTGCCTATTGTTGAAATACTTACGATAGCAAAAATCGAGATAAAAGGTTGGAACTTGAGAAATTAATAACTAATAGCCAGAGAGATATACAGTTCAAAAATTGACATGATCCCCCAACTTTTACCTGTAAAACGAGCGAGGAAAGCGCAGTTTACAGTCAAAAGCGTTTATTGATCGATGCAATCATCTAAACTTTTTACGCTCATTGAAATTTTTGTAGATCCATCTGCTGTAGTTTATGAATAATAAATAAAAGACACGATATTTTATTCCTTTTGAGGTGTTCGCAATTTACGTTCTCAGTCTACGTGTAGACGTGTTTTTTAACCGATTTAGCCAATTTTTAGCCCCAACCTGTGTACAAGAACTTTCAATATTTTTGCTGAATTGAAAGGCGATAGCTTCATTTTTGCGTCCAGGAGGCAACATAGATTATATAGACAGACACGCATAAATCGATTTAAGATTTGCTGGTGATCTAAAATGTGTGTACTTTATGGGGTCTCTGACAGTTCCTTCTGGGCGCAGCCAACGTTTTGATAATATGGATGGGGTCACTATTGGTTCAGACTCATCTCAAAATTATACGGACGAATCATCGTTGAGGATGGTGTTAGTTCAAGTTGGTAGAGTGGAAATTTCGGCAATTAACGGTCTATGCCCGATGACCTGATATTATAACTGTTATAATAATATATAAAATTAATAATAGTTTTCTTTTTTCTATTTCAAATTTTGTAAATTGTAGTCGCGCGGGAGCCGCGAAGGTTAGAAAATTTACGGGGATTGATTTCAAGATCTAACTATTGAACTGAGACATTTAGACTGTAAAATAAGGATTTAACTTCAAGTTGAGCTACTGAATTTTTGTTTGAAATAAAGCTAAACACTCCATTGTTATTATAAAGTGCGAATGAGTACTAGCTCCGGTATACCACAAGAGGTGATCCCTTAAAATCTAGTCAATTGAATAGCTGGATAGTCCTACGAGTTAACTACAGCAAAAAAAAAAAAAATGATGAAGAACTTTCCCCATAAAGGAACACTTTCTTTCCTCACAGAACAAATGCTCTTCCCCCACCTCCTAAACACGGCAAGAGGGTTAAAAGAGGAGTAAATGTATGTACTTACCTAAAACACCTAAACGATATTGTATGGTGACCAAAACAACATCTTTTCTCATGAAATAGGCTGGACCATACCAATCGTGATTGGCTTCGCCGTACACAAAGCCGCCGCCATGTATAAAAACTAAGACCGGTCTTTGGGATTCGGGCGTTAACTGGAAGAAATGCGAAAGTTTTGTATAAATGTCTTTGCCGTAACAACAACAACAATAACTTACATTATTTGTGTAGACATTTAAATACAAACAATCCTCGGAACCGCATATTTTACCCGTAATAAAATCGTACTGCACCGATTTATCTTTATGTGTAGTGCAGTCCTTAATACCGTCCCAGGGTGTCGGGCGTTGAGGTGCTTTAAATCGTAACTCTCCGAGTGGCGGCTGAGCGTACGGTATACCCTCGAAACTGTAGTATAAATCACCATAAATGCTATTACGTTTGATTCCCTTAATTTTGCCATATTCTGTCTCGGCGAGCGGATGCTCATTGGTAGACAAACGATAGCTAAGAATTTTATTCTCAAGCGTTCTAAGCGAGCAAAGATAGAATGTGAAAAAGCAATTAATTAGATCTACTTCGAGATAAATATTAAATTAAAAATACTTTCCACAAGTTAAGCTTCAACTATGGAATTTAAATAACTATACACATACAAATAAACATACACATAGAATGCATGTAGATGAGGCGCTTGGATATGCTTAAATAAATTATTATTATTATTTTGTATTTCGTATTTTTCTATTTATTTATTTTTTTTTTTTTTTTGTCTGTTAATTTCTATGGTATGTACAAGTATGCATGATATCATTACTTAAGTCTTTTTATTTAATTTGTATTTTTTAACTATTCTATTAATACGACAATGCACTCTAATAAACTAATTGTAAATTCCATGCATTTGTTTTTCATAAATTAATGTGACATGAATTTTTAATAAAATTCTTTACTGCAAACATTCATACATGACAGTTTATAAATATATTTGAGTAAGAAAAAAAAAAAAAAAAAACGAAAAACTAATTAAATATTAATTTTGTTTATTTAAAATTTTCATTTAAACCATCGAAGTGTAAAAGTGAACTAAATTTTTTTTTTTTTATTATTTATTTTTAAAGCCTTTCCAAAAGAAAGAAAAAAGAAAAGAAAAACAAAAGAAAAAGTTTGATTAATGCCACTAGACAAGCAGTGTACACGCTGGACATGGTTTGGCTTCGAATTGTTGGCAGATATTTCCAAGCACACATTTCATTCATCTCGGAAAGTGCTTAAAGAGAGACCTTAATTGAAATTGATTTAAGTGTCGACATAAGTATGTATGTATAATTTCAGCTACTCTTCAACTTTTTTACGAAAGAGCAGATAAAAGTTTTTTTTTAAATTTTTTTTCTTAATTTTCTGGTACAAAGTTTCACTTTACTATCTTCTTTTCCTATAATATGCAATGAATGTGTCCAGGCGCATTTTTTCTCGCGGCCTTGAAAAATTTCCAAAAACTACGAAACAAAACTTACACTTGACACTTTACTTAAGGTGAACCATCATACATTTCAATGCAGCAGTTTATAGCTTGATGTTGGATGACGATTTAAATTTTGGTGCGATCAAGGGTCCAAGAAAAAGGGTCGAAAAAAAAAATAAAAAAAGGAAATACTATACACTACACTTCTACACTAGATCGCCTAGGATTGCAAGATAAAAAGGAGATCTTCCTACTCGATCATAAGACGTACATACGAACTCATCTCTTTACATAACTTGGCAGCATTCCATAGGTAATCTCAGAGAGTCAAAATTATAGCATGCTTGTTTAGCTCATTTGCTACAAACTGTTGCATATGACACGGCAGTCTTTTATCGCTCACAATATGTTAAGCCGCTCTTTTCGTATTTCTTGAAAAACCATTTGACTAGTTTTTGAGAAGAAAAACACTTGAGACTCTATTTCCTATTCTGCTCAAATCTTGGAATTGTAATTTCAACAAGCAGGTACACTGCTGACTGACAGACAGAATGAGGTAAATAAATTCCAGCAATCAAATCATTTCTGAATATATAAGCATAGAACTCTAGCCAGCACAAAGGAACATTTTCACGAATCGTCGCATAATATCAGATGTATTTCCGTACCGGTAAATGATATTTTGTCAGTAAAATGTGTAGCTAGTAATGAACAATAACATTAGAAAATAGAGTCTTTTCGTTACTAGCACTTATCCGAGAGTTTATGTGTTTGTTCTAAGCAAATTATAATAAACATATCTGCCGCTATGCTTAATATTTTATGAATTGTACGATGTAGATATGTTATCTATATCTTTATCTGTACTATTGCTCAGGGCTTTGCCGAAAAAGACGCATGAATTGTTAATTATAGCAATGATTATTATTAAATAATTGCTCTGTCATTAATAATAATAATAATAAAATTCTCTTTTTGTTTTTTTTCTAAGAGAAAGTTAGCGCGCGAAATTACTTTCATCTCCGACACCCTTCATAACTGATTCGTAGTCTTCCAAGTATATTTCAGTGTTTTTTAACTTTAGGAAATATATGACAAATTAAATGCCGTCTTATTGGTGCGTATAAAACAAGAGCTCGACATAATTGTCATGATTAATTCATTAAACTAATTAAAATAATTAATTATTTTTATTATTATTTAATTCTTGGCTCGCTGCCTAAACTTTTCTAAATGTTATTGCATTTTCAAAGGAAGGACGTATGGACAGACATTAAATGACGTTAAACGATTTTCGAATTTCTTATCGGTCACGTATACATACAGTTTATATAATATTAATGATCATTACATTCGATACGATCACGTTTTCCGTAGCTTTTCATATGATATTAATGAGCGTCACATTCGATCTAATAAAGTTAATGTATATATTTTTTTGTTGAGTATAAAGATTTGTTAATAATAACTTAATTTAATTTTTTATTTATTTATTTTTTTTTATTTTGGGTGCGGTTTTGGCAAATTTTCTATTATATATACAAATGAATAGAATTACACATAAACAAGTGTTGGACAGACAGAAAGGCTAAGCAGCATATATATGATATGAGATTTACGCACTGCTTTAATCAATACAAAGTATTATTGTAAACATTTCCAATAACTTGTTTAAATATACAAACATTTAAAAAAATATTTCATTTTCATCTACATATCACCCTAGATATGAGAGTGCGTTGATGTTATTCTTGCCTAATTGTAACATAATTAATAGCGCACACACAACAGATTGGTAAGGTTCAACGTGTAATTGTGTATGCACTATGTAACTATTTTCAATTTTTTTTTTTTTTTTTTTCTGTTTTGCTCGATACTTCCTTTTACACTCAAGAAAGTAGAAGTAATAAAAAGTGATGCGCGAAGAATGCCAAAAGCATAGTATGAGACAAGAGAAGAAAAAAAAGCTCTAAACGAAGTGCCTGCAAGTACTTACAGATAAGATGGAAGACTTAGGATTAAAAATGAGAAAAAAAGTGGCGAAGGCTTTGCTTGCGTAAATCTGATCCGAATATAAGCTATGCACGGTCTTTCCTTCTTTATGTAGCGCATAGTTGTTAAACTGTATATAGAGCATTCTAAACGATATGTAGAACGTACTTGTCAAGCTGTAGAACTGTATCAAGAGCATACCACGCAATATGTAGAGCAGACTTGTCAAGTCTTAGATCCTATGAGGAATTTTGAATTTCCTTTAAAAGATCATTATCTTTATCATTATCATTATCTTCATTCATTTTATGCGATGGCTAATGTATTGAATTATAAAAAATCGACGATCGCTAGAATACAATTTCGAGATACTTGCACTCGTTTCTATTCGATTAGAGTAATGAAAAAATCATAATATATTTTGTTCTTGTCTTCTTCAATAAAACGTGAAACTTTTTTATTTAGCTTGGTTCAAATGTTGAACATCAACCACTTGAAATGCGTGCATAAAAATTTCAAATCTTTTTACTAAATGCTTAAGGATGAAATATCGAAAGAAAATCAATTTAAAACAAATTTTGAATATTTATAAGAAAGTTGCTACACAACTAAATCCCCTTCGCACTTATTAAACTTTTTTAATTATGTCGAAGTTTTCGTGTCGGTGTCATATAGCCGCATAGATAAGGGTCACGACTATCAAGTGGGTGTTCTCGGATTTATTTTTCCATGCGGTTTAACCATACTTGGCCGTAGCTACAGTGAGTGCTCAATCAGTAAAAGTATAAGACCTACCGATTGGATACAAAGCCAACTCCCTATTTCTTTTCCCTTTTTCAATCATAGTTTTACACCAATAGGCGACATGCCCTGAGGACTTGGTTACATTAAGAAAAGGTATGTATTTTAAATTTTATATTCATTTTGTAACATTAAGCTGTTTCCATATCACTCCTCAGATTGTATGTCGTTTGAAACGGTGGCTATCCTTTAAAGTTTGTTTTCAGCCCACAGGGTTGCATTTAGTCTTGGATTCTCCCTTCCACACTTATCAGGGTAAGCCCGAAAAAGGATTCGTAAGTTCATCACTAATTTACAACTTACCCTATTCGGAAAGAAATTTTAAATACTAATTCAAATACTAATTTAAATATGAATTTAATATACTAAATTAGTACTAAGGATGCTTCTTTGTAGACGATATTACATATGATATAGGAATACTAAGCTAAATTATACCCAAAACCTGTCATGTTGCGACTGAACCTGTTAGTAGATACATCAATAATAAGCGATGTCACAATCGCTATAGCAGTATCGTATCAAATTTAATTCCAAATTGTTCCTATTACCAGATAATTATAGACATGATAGTGCGATGAAACTAAAGTAGACTTTATCCAAAACTTTCCTTGTGTTGTAACATAATAGATGCTTCTTTGTAGACAATATCACGATAGACGAATTCTAAATTAAATTTTATTCACAACGTTTCTGTTTCCGATTTAATAGGCAAGTTATTTATAAATGGCGTCGCTTGGGAGAGAAAAGTATTAAACTTTATTTAAAGCTTTTCTAGTTACTATAAAGAGTACAGCTGGGTGCTTATCTATAGATGATCTCATGCACAATATACAGTTACTACTGGAAATTAAAAATACTATCTACTTATAGACGATATCACTTACGATATACGTGCACTAAACTGAAATATGCTAGATAGAAGTCATGCTGTCATGGATAATAAGCAATATCATATATGATAGCGGATAATAAACGAAAAAGTGAATCCCATCCTAGACGCAAAAATTAAAGACTTTCTCACAATCAATTTACTATAAATATGAAAAACATTAAAATATTAAAAGTCTTCCGGTATATTTTTCTTATAAATTTAATTATAAAAAACGAAAAAGAATCTAAAAATTAATCAATTAATCATTTCGTTTATAGCACGTTTGTGAATAACGTAAGGTTAATTGCATTTAAAATGCTTCTGTCGGATACTTCTCGAATCTTATTTTTTCTTCAAAATATTTTAAGAAAGCAAAAAATTCAATTATCGTCGAATTTCAATGGATCAGTGCCTTTTTTTCTGTACTTTTTTTTTGGTTTTTTTTTTTTTTTGGGGCAAGTCGGTGGTTATCTAAAACGGAACTTTCTGAATTTTTGCAACGCAACGTAAACCGCGAATTTTTTATTTCTTTCTCTTATCTAATATAAAAGAAATATATTAAGCACATCATTAAATATGTGATAAAAATGAATTTAAAGTCCAAACATCCGAAAAAGAAAATCTCTGCAGCCGTCTATCGATCAATGGAATTTTTATGGCATACTAACGATCGCTGCTCAAATTCGTTATGTATGAAAAGAAGAGCGGAGAGAGGAGGAGACACAAAGTTTTTTTTTTTTTTTTTGTATAATCATATTTAGCAAGAAATAATTGCCTAACTACATATGGAAAATAGTAGCGGGTACTTATGATTTGCTTACTTCTCCTTATACTAGTAATTAAATGAATGGATGACTGATATTTTGTAAATCTATTGACAAACATATAATGAGTGTTTGACTTTTGCAATAAACTTTTATTTATATACAATTGATAAGAGTTACTTGCAGGCGACTACCGGCCATCTGACTAATAATATATATTATTAGTCATTCATAATACGAGTGAGTGAATATTAATCATATGCAGTCACATTTGTAAAGATATTTAAAAAAAAATTTGTTTGTTATCGAATTTTTATGACAATTCATGACAAAAAAAAAAGGGAAAGATATGCAAGTCTGCGGCTCTATTTGTTGATTAGCAATTGTAGGGGGGGAAATTTTGTAGGTATTGACAGTATTAACTGATAAACAGTATAAACTGATATTCATGCATCCACCATAGCGTTTGTTCGAAAAGTTGCGGTATTATATTTTCTCCTCCGACTATCGTTAACGTAAACTAGCAATAGTTAAGTCAGGCAATCATTTAAGGGTGTAATGGTTGACGTCCCCTCAGTTGCTTGACAAGTCGTTGCAATATACCAATCAAAACTCATTGCAAGCGAAGAATTATACATACAAAGGTATCACATTTGTCATTTCGACTGCCGCTAACATTCAAAAATAAACCTTAGAAGTCTGAAAAAGGATAGCTACTCAAGTATCCTTAATTAATCCCTCTGGTAGTCGAACTAGTCTACAGGCCTTCATATGACACACAATAACCTATAAGCCAATGTCGAAGTGACGTCATAACACGAATGGGTCAGGGAAGCACAACAAGGTCCACCAAGTATGGGTACATGGACATTCAGCCATCGAAGGCCTGTCGAAAGTGTTGACAGGATAGCCTAAAGGTTACGGAAAGTCCGGAATTTCTTTTAAGCGTGCCAAAAAACCCTATCAATAGGCTAATATCGTAATGGGCCAAGAAAAAATCAACAATCCATTGGAAGCACAGCATAAGACGGCAACGGCAGGGTAAAAGATTTATTAGGTCCTCCGGCATAACACACATACGTGAGTCACAATTCCCTCAGATACCACCTGAAAAACATGTTTACCTTAGTTACCGTTTCTGCGAGAAAGCGGAGAGACTGTCCCTCCTCACACTGCGCAAATTTTGGGGGCATCTGTTTCTACAGGTACCAGGTTTGTGGCGAAAGCTGAATAACGCCGGACATCGTAAGGCGCTCCAAATCTGAGAAGGTGGCTAGATTCATAAGAATCCTAAGGCTAGCAAGGTAAAGGCTTGGGCGAACACAATCAAATTCTTTAGCTCATAGCACGGATTACCTATTACATTACAATTACTATGCTTGATCGACATAAAACCGATATATGCTATATCCAAGTGTGTATGTCCGTCCTTTGGCTAAGGTTGGCCTTTTCGCGATCATAAACAATGGCATTAAAAACGGTACATATTTTTGTTGTTGATAAATGTAGATCACCTTTGGATTTGCCTTTGTTTAATAGCTGAAAACGCAATCACCGTTGCAGAATTCGTTACATGTATTTCCTCGATCTTTAAAATCAATAAACCATTTGATGCGTACACAATCAGCAAAGAAGTTTTGCTATTATTAACTTTTTTGCCGGGTGACCAAGATTCGCCTTAAATTTCCGGTCTATTTCGGTCAATGCCAAATTGATATAAATTAAAATTTCTTTTATTCTCTTTGTTCTGTTTCCTTTTGCTTTTTAGATTATTTTGGCTCTTTCTTCTGCGTTAGGTAAATCATTACCATTTCCAAAATTCATGTTTAAAATTTTTTTATTCTTTTCATTTTTGATCTTCATACTTACGACTTTATGAATTCTGATCATAAGCGGACTAACAGACAGAAATGACTAACTTATCATAATTTTAAATTTTTTAATAAAACGGACAGTTAGATAGACGTACATAACTACATCGAGTTATTTTTATTTCCTGCAAGTTTTAGCATCAAAGAGGAAACGAGCAGGTAAATAAGTAGACAGGCATGACCAAACTAAGTTAGATAACGGTCAAACAGACGAACGCACTTTTCTTTTTTTTTCCTGTTTAATATTTAAGTGTCTCTCAGCAAATCAGGACGAGGCTGATATGAGAACGGTAAACGTTGATGCGTTAATGGCAACGACACAACTAGCTGACCACCATGTATCAATCTTCTTAAATAGCAGTCATCGTAGAAGAACAGACATTGATAACTAAATCGATATATTTCTCCTTCCAGTAACTTTCTTGATTTAAATAATCAAAAAAAATTCTTCTGAAGGACGGACCTATTTATTTATTTATTTATTTTATTTTTTTTTTGCCTGTCCTTCTATAGGTTTAAGCTTTTTTGTATCAATATATATCGTTAAATAGACCTAAAGGAGACAGGAACACGACTCGTACTCTGCAAGCTCAAACAATATGAGATCAACCCACCGAAGCATAGACATTGAACACTAGTTAGCGTTGCTATGTTTATGCCAACGTCGCAATTACGATCGCTGCATCAATTTCCTTAAACAGCAATCGCAAGAATTTTACAGCAAAAGGACAGAAGGACGGACCTTCATAACTAAATCGGTTTATCTCTCGTCCTAACAACTTTATTAAGTCAAACAATTAAAGATGGATCAACTGAAGGACGGACGTATTTATTTTTCTTTTTTTGTTGCTGTTTTTTTTTCACCTAAACGATAATGAGGACTTAATGTTAACTACGTGCAGGACTTTCAAAAGTGCAACTATTCTGTGCGATGAGTTTGGTAGAAACATGCACTCAAATGCACTGTTGATGGACTAAACAATTCGTTCATTAAACTTTTGCGATTGAGGCCGATTTCTTAACTTGCATTTTAGGTAATTGATTTCAACATTAAGCTGTGAATGAGTCACAATGCATTTTACACATAATCTCTAATGTACAATAATGTATACGTCATTAACTTACTTAACCTTCCATCTTAGCTTTTCCATCAGCGGGGTATTGTAATTCATTTTTAATTAAATTTAATAAAAAAAAATTTCCTAAGCAAAAAATAAATATATAAAATAAAATAAATTTTTATTTTTTTATTTTTTATTTTTTTTTTAGATTTTATATATAATATACTATGGAAGATACTGTGAACTGCACGATACGAATTAAAAACTCGAACTGTATGTGGGTTTGCGAAAAGTTAAACAGCAGCAACAGCAACAACAGCAGCAGCAGAGAAGAGCAAAAGCATGAAAAAAGAAAAGAAAAGCAAATGAAAAAAAGTAAAATAGAAATAAAAAGAAACTAAACTGATATGAAAAATTAAGGCAAAAATAAAACATCAACAACAACAACAACAACAATAGCAACTGATATTAACAAAATCCAAAAACCGAGAAATAAACAATAAACAGTAAACCATGTTTGCCTATATATTTGTATATGCAAAAAAAAAAAAAAAATATTTAACGCACAAACACACACCCGCTGAGCAATGTGCCGTGCAGTGCGTGTAGTGGCATATTGCGATGGCGTGCGGTTTTCAAACATTATTAAATAATTATTTAAAAAAAATCAAAAGCCAACGCATATATCCATCATCTCTCATAAACTCTTGAATTTTGTTTTTCAATTTTCAAAAACTGAAAGCATATGTTTTTTTCTTTTCGCTTTTATATTAAAATTGAGTAAACGAAAAATTTAAATTCAATAATAATTAAGTGCAATCGGTCGATCAGTCAAAAATGTTAATAAAAATAAAAATTTTATAAAAATAAGAATAAAGAAAAAAAAAATAAATAAAAATATTCATTCTTTTCATAAAGGTTTGACAGTCATTTTGTAATATTTTGTTATAAATCGATGTCGCGCTATAAAGGGTTTCAAATTACAATTCGTTTTTTTTCTTTAATTCCATTGTCTGTTTATATTTCACGATGATGATCGTTTTTATGGTTACTTAATGTCGCTATGACGAGAGTAGTTCTTATGTACCTACCCCAACAACAAAACAAATACAAATACAATACTAATACTAATAATAATGACAATGATAAATAAGTAAGAAAGAAATAAACGTCTTAAAGTGAATATTGGTTACAAACAATTAAGGCAAGACTGCTTTCATTAATTATAGATATATTTATCCATTAAGCATTTTCGATATCTCCGACTAGGTCAATAGCTTTACAACTCTAGTGTCTGCTAGCTCGACATTATACATTAGAGTTTCGTTTTCATTTCAAACATATAGAGCACGTTTGCAAGGTATGGAAAAAAAATTTTCATTATAAAACTTCCCTCTCATAAGTTATATGTCAAATGAATAAAAACAGTAACGTTTTTATAAAACAAAATCCGGAAAGACACAATAAAGGTTTACCATTAAACACCCTACCATCACCTTAAAGTTATTCACATTTTGACTGTGCAAAATAAGGCGTTATATGGGAAGCGGTCGAAACAGTAGTCCAATCCGAACTTTTTTGCAATTGTGTTCATCCTTGGACAAAATACGGCAGTCTATTAAATTTCATCAAAATATTTTAAAAATTGCAGTCCATACGTTGAACACAAGAGAACAAGACAAACAGGCGGACAGATGGACCGGCGATCAGACAGACAGATTGTCAGACGGACGGATCCGGATCATTTTCTGAATCGATCGGTATAAAAAAACGTTGGTCTATCCCAAGCCCTCCCGGGCACAATCTTAACAAACACTTATACCCCAACCTCTACTAGAGAATTAAGAGAATGACAAGAAATGCTAATGTGACAAATCACTCAGGGGATGTCCTGTACGCGTGCTAGAAAGAGAAGAAAGAGAGAGAGAGAGAGAGAGAGAGAGAGAGAGAGGGAGAAGAGTTTGTGGCCGACGTCTAGTAGGTAAGCACTCAATCGGTAGGTCTTATGCCTTTACAGACCAAGCTGTCATCACTATAGCTGCGAACAAGTATGATTCAACCGCATTGAGATTTGAATCCGCGAACACGGACTTAGTGGTCGCTATTCTTATTTACTCGACTTCGCGGAAGCCCAAAGCGTTTACAAGAGCTTCAAATGTTTCACTTCTATCGGTTTAAGAATAAATTCCACGCAGAAGTATTATTGGATTTTTTGTATTTCGCGACTGTCATATTCTGATTTACTTTTAATTAAAGTGGATAACGGAATTCATACTTATCTGCCTTGCCAGTCCTAAATGGTTTTCTCTTGCTCTCTTTCGATTAGGTTAGAAAAACATAGAAACTAAGTTGGTTTGGAATTAGTAAACAATTTTTAAAAGTACAAACAGTCAATCCAAAATTTAGGTTTGAAATTGTGCGTCAAGTTGTCAAGAAACCCACGCGGAGCTATGAAATTATTTGTAAAGTCTTTAATTTGGACCGTTACCTAGAAAGTGCTACCAAGTTGCATAAGAATATACAAAATAAAGTGAAAACACTATGATGGGAGGCGGCCCACCGTTAAGTACTCTACACCAATTTGTTTATTGCAATTATTTATATAACGGCTTTGCACAATAAGGCTTCACAGGCGGAACGGTCATAACAGTGGTCCGATTCGAACTATTTTCAACAGCCTTCGTTCCTGGGCCAAACAGCTCGGTACACGTACTAAATCTCATCAAAAACTATTAAAAATTGCAACCTATAGATTACACACAAGAAATTAAGGCAGACCGACGGACAGACAGGTGACCTGACCGATCTGGCTGAATCGCTACAATAAAAGTTTGGTCTATCTCAAGCCCTTCTGCGTGTTGCGTATAACCACCTGAACTTAATACACCACAAATGTACCACAAGTGGATGATTACTTTGATATATTACGCGATAAGCGATGCAAAATATTAATGATTAATGATAAAAATAATAGTGTGACATAATTAGAAATATAGAGGCGAAAAGAATACAATGTCTGTCAAGTTTTTAACTGTTGAAGACCCTTTGGGCATTCCTATTTGTGAAAGAAATCTAAACATGCGATCTGAACCCAATACGTATATGTCAAAATTGAAAAGATGAACCAACGAGCATGAAAACCTTATAAATATACATACATGTCGGTGTTAGTGGAATACTTTTTAAATTACCTAATAAAAGCTCGCTTAAAATTTCAATTAGTCATTGTAGTTAATAAGACGAAATGAATTCCGTTTATGTATTGGATATTCAAAGAGAATGAGTCTATATAGAGACACATGCCTCGTGGTAGTTAGATTACAATCACTCAAACTAGAGAAGCATTGCGATTCATTAAAACCTATAACTTTTGTAAGTAATGACCGCTGTTGACAATAGCATTGACTTACTTTTCGCTCTCTCTCTCTCTCTCTCTCTCTCTATATAGACAGTGATCGTCAACCGTTATTAATTTACGAAACATTAAATTTTTCATTTAAAATCGCAACGAACTTTAATAGATCCCAACAATCAATCATAGCAATGTCAAGAAACTCAAAAAACTATGTAATCATCAAAGCTGATCGTTCCTTTTGGTGATTTAGTAAAAACATTTTCTATCGGCTCCAGCACCGCTGAAGCTCTCCCCGGGTCGACTTCTCCAATTTGGCTATTAGATTAAATGAGAAGCCCATTGATTGGGTAGAAACTGTGTCATATCTGGCGGTAATTCTGGATCGCAAACTGAGCTACGATGTCCACTTGGATAGTATCTCTGGGAAATTACCTCTTAGACTATGAAAATTATACACTTTGAACGTGCGCTTGCCATTTCAGGTTAAACACATTATGGCGCATGCTCGTCTTAAGCAGGTTTACTACTGCATTGAAGTGTCCTCGCATGACGCGCCGTGTAACCTGAATATACTTAAACTGATTATCAACTGCTTTACGTGCTTTATCAGAGACCACGTGTTTCCCTTCTTTCTTGATGGTTTCGCAATCCCTTTTCTATAACCACTGAATATTTAAATTATTAATCCATCTCTGCAGTATCAGAGGCAAACACTTCATATGGCCAGAGGCTATATGATACTCCGAAACAAAGCATGTGACAAAATTGATAAGAGGATAGGAGCATAGGCGAAAGCAAAGATATTTTAGGTCACGGTACTGATGGCCCACCTTAGAAGGAATTATATTCCTTTTCACTCTGATGGCATTTGGCCAACTAATTAAAAGACGTTTGACGTAAGCAGCCATTGAATGCTAAGACTATCTCAGATAAACAACTCGCGGGTAATCTTAATATATTTACTTTATTTTTTCTTCTTTTTTTTTCTCTTCTTATTTAATCAGACTAACGACCGAAATTTTTTTGGGTTTTCTTTTTTATTTATTTAAATTATTTTTTAAAATTGAAATTTATTGTTAAAATTTTTAATCCATCTTTTGTTACTTTTATATTAATTTATTTACTCTATTAAACGGTTTCCGTATAAATTGTTCCAAATTTTAAATTTTTCCTGAACATCCGCTGGGATATCAGCGAATGTTAATTCACAGGCGATATTCATCCACTTAGATAGACCCGATGTCTTAATATCATCCCAAGTGCATACAAATTCGCAATTTGGATCAGAATTCTTAGCAAATGTTGACCATATTTTCACCATACGTCTCATTATAAAATATTCTCGTGATTTTGTGTCGAGTACAGCTGAATAGTAAGAAAAGAAAAGATACGATAAATCATCACCATGAGCAACGCCTCTATAGGTATCGTTGCCAAGATATATTGTGCGATGATGATTAAAAGTGGGTGAATCAAAATCGAAGCGATATAGATAGGTGGACGCATTTCCGTATTTAGAACGAGCTTGCAATAAACGATACATTCCATGCCAGAATAAACGATAGGAATAGTACTACAAAAAATTAAAAGAAAAAAGAGTATGTAAAAAACGAGGTAAGGAAGTTCATGTAGACAGTTTACGGGTGACCTGAAACATGCATTTAATTATAGGAATGATTTTCCTTAACTAACTTCTAACGAAACTAACGTCCACCGAATTTTTACCATTTGAAACGCATGCAGACGCGAACAAAGACTTATTGAATAATATACGATGATTTTAAATAAAAATATTTACTTACATCCAAAAAAGGTAAAATGTCTTCTTCGCTTATCTGATTTTCGCGGAAATGTGCGCCAATTAGCTCCTCTGTTAAATTTAAATAATCACATCCGCAAGGTATATCATTAGGCAGAAGTCTTTCGCGTTTTTTTCTAAGTCTCTCTAATAGTTCCGGTATCTTTTTCAATATCGGATACATGCATAAGCCCTCGAAAGAAGTACCGCCAATCATAAGCGGTATATTGTTACCCCATCCGCATCTAATTAAATCCCATACCGGTTTTGTTATAATTGAGTCGCCACTTTCGTACGGTTCCACAGAAGGCAGGAATGCATATAGGTAACCTTTATATCGTCCCAAAACATCAAGATCATCTATATCAACCAATATTTCGGCTGGTACTGATTGCAAATATTCTAAGATGCATTTATCATTCTCCTTCGGACCTTGATATCCTTTTCGGCACGCAAGAAGATAAGACAATTGAACGGCATCAAAACTTAAGGCCCATTCATGTAAAAAGCAACCAGATTGAATAATTGCCTTTTGAAATAAGTCCCGGGTATGTTCGGAACTTAACAAATAGTGAACTGAAGCTCCTCCAGCATCCTGTCCAAATAAAGTTATGTTTTCAGAATCACCGCCAAAATAGTCAATATTATCCTTAACCCATTGTATGGCTAACATTTGATCCTTCAAACCGGCATTACCCGGTACTTGTACGCGCGGATCGCAAAGACTGAGAAAGCCTAAAAAGTGATAATAAATAAATAAAAAATGCGAGTAATTATGGATAAAAATGTACCGAACATTGATAGACGATAATTGAAAGTAACTAAAACTATATTTTCCATCATGAAATAATCAGGGCCACAAATAAAATTTCTGATGCCGCTTCCAGTAGTAAATCCACCACCATGTATCCACACCATTACCGGCAATTTGCTGTTTGAACAATTTATCTTAAAATTTAGGAAAACAATGATTTGCGGAGGGTTCCTTCAAATATTTTTCAATTTCGTACATTTTTGCTGTAGACATTCAAATAGAGACAATCTTCAGTGCCTTCTATTACCCCCTGTTGATTCTTTTGAATGGCTTTACATGTAAATCTGCAGCAGTCTCTAACGCCACGCCATTTCTTAGGCGGTACGGGAGATTTAAAACGTAACTTGCCCACGGGAGGTTCGGCATATGGAATACCTTCAAAACTATAGTATGAGTCATCATAAACAGATTTCAATTTCAATCCTCGGATCATCCCTTGCGTTGTTTTTACAGTCTGAAAACGTTCGCTAAAAAAAGAAGAAAATCCAAGTTTTACTTTTGCATTAATTATCCGGATATTTGCAGTTAATACTTAAGTACCAACTAGAACGATCGTTGTTTCGTAAACGCAAATATTCTAAAATTTTGTGAACCGCGGCAGTTAACATTTTGAAAACAAACAAATCAATGCTTATAGGTCGAAAACTTGTCTACGTTGTTGTGAGTGATTTCAAATCAAACTAACCAAAAAAAAAAAAAAAAGAAAATAAGAAAGAAAAGTGACACTTGCGCTTTCCGACAACGGAATGGCAGAACATAATAATTGAAATATTTCAACTTTGAAATGCATTTCAAATGTAGCTGCATTTCAATACTTTTGAAAGTATTCCCCAGATTATTTAGGGACATAGGACTGCAGAAAAAGGATTGTGAAAATTTTTTCTCAAAGTAATTCAATTTATTAAAAGTACTTGTGGGGACCAAAATCGGAGGTCCTTTTCGGTCCCTTCATTATTATATCTTTATATTTTACAAACTTGTTATATCGTAAATTTAGAGTTACCCCTGCGATGAGAAATCAGATGGGTCAGCTGATTTATCTTCGAATGTAAATAAAAACTGATTGGCAACGCCGATCAGATCAGATATATGTTTAGAGGAAATGGCAAAAGAATTTGCACCTTTTTTTGGATTCAACCGCCACATATGTCACAACGTAAACAAATTTATCAGTGTCAATACGAAAGAATGAGGACTCTAGGAGCCAAAGAGGTTGATATTCTTAGTCAGGACGATGTGACTCAGGACAAACTGACTGACGTTAGACTCTGTATAGACGCAACGGATGGTCCTCCACCGCTGATTCATAAGAACTGTCTTTGAATGACAAGAAATCTTTATAAAGTAAATAAATTAGAGTAATATGCCGCTGGTTGCCCATTGAATTTGAACTGAATTTCTTATCTTGTTAGTCGAATACGGCCATATCGCGGAACTCCATCCACAAATGAGTTAGAATGCCCAGACTAGAGTGGCAAGCTTCCCCCAGGCAGGTATAGGAAGAAGATCTCTTTGCAGTGCAAGGGCGCACTCCTTCAATCTTGAAAATGTTCTTAAAATTATTTAAAGATAATTTTGCTTTATATTAATTATTATAATTTGTTTAGATCAAAAACATAAATTTTAGGATTAGGGATGAGACTGTCGGCTCATATTATTTTATAAGAATCATTATTGAGTATTTAAAATAATAAGCTCTTCATGTAGTCTTTTCTTTGATATAAACAAAAATTGTCTGAAAATTTTTTTCATATAAAGATTTTGTATGGGGAGTGGTCAAAAAAGTGAACCGATCCGAACCATTTGTTGTTGCAGCGTTCGTCCTTGATAAAAACACGTCGCTACACCCAACTTCATCGTAATATCTCAAAACTTGCGATCTGTAGCTTGAACACAAATTTACATTGACAGACATAAGACGGACAGACAAACAGACAAGCTTAGATTAATTCAGATTATGATTCTGAATCGATCGGTGTAATAAAAGGTGGGTATATCATAAGCCCTTTTGCCTGTTTGCCACTATGTTTATATATCCTGTAATACAAGTGGTGCAGGGTATATATGCCGAAGTCGGCGCGCCACCAAAAAAAACGGATAGACATGTATATTTTCTGCATTAATCTGTAACATGTGAAGATATCTAATTCGCCGCGTGCGACGGTTTAAACCTCAATCAGGTAGACTGTTGTACGGTCGAAGGCGTAGTACGTTAGTCAAGGCATAACACTGGCGGCTTAGATAAACATCTCCCAGACTGGCATCGCTCTCTATTCCTTATCCCTACTTCTTTCTGCCTGTTACTGTAATACGCATAGTACACGGTTGATTTTGGGAGGCAGTTATCACGGTCGAATAATTGAGCAAGAAATAATCTTTGGAGTACGGAAAAATATGAACAGCTGCGTAGCTTTTACAAAGATGATTGCTTAGAAAATATACTTGATGAATTTGAGAATAAATGTGATGAACAACAAATTATTAAACATATGCCAAAACTTTTATCTAATGGCCGCCGCTAACTACAGCGGTCACTCTGAAGTAAAAACGTATATGCGTTGCTTTGCAAATCTGCTTCTCGATTAGATTTTCAAACAAAACATTTCTTGATTCCTTTTTTTAATTTATTTACACGAATTAATTCATTTTTTTTTTGTTCTTTTTTTCTCAAATTCGAAATAATAAATTGTTTCTCAATTGTCTACTTTTTCATATTTTTTCATATATTATTTTACCCTACTAAACAAGCTCCGTATAAATTATCCCAAGCTGCATATTTTTCCTCCACTTCATTTGGTATCGATATGAATGACCAATCGGCGCCCATATTTAACCATTTTTGTATGCCTGCTTCAGAGATACTCGACCAATTACATATATATTCACAATTCGGGTTTGAGGTCTTAGCAAATGCTGTTAACATTTTGATCATACGCTTTATCACGGAATACTCGCACGTCTCAGGTTTCGGTTTAATCGTATAATACGAATAGAAAAGATACGATAAATCATCTCCATGAGCAACACCTGAGCTGACATCATTGCCGCAGTATATAATACGATGATGATTAAAATTGGTTGTATCATGGTCAAAACGATAGTGATAGGTAGATGCTTTAGCATATTTGCAGCGTGCTAATAAAAAACGACGCATTCCATGCAAGAATAAGCGATAAGAGTAGTACTAAAAAGATAGAAAAAAAAGAATTTTAAGAAATATCCGTACATTTGTTATCAGTAATAGGCGGATCTAAGAAACCTTTAGATAACCAAATTACTATAAAGCTTTATCTCCTACTAAAATAACATAAGGAAATTTGTTAAAAAAGTGCTTCGAGTGGTAAAAGGTCTGAACTATTTGTTTTCGAGAGCAATGTTTTTTTTTTTTTTTGCTGGTATGAAAAGGGGAGGGGGGCGTGCTCATAATACGCTGCAGATATTCGCCAAGTTAGAGTAATTTTTACTATGCTTTCAGATAATCGTGGACAGGACAAATGTAAACATGGGGTGAATTTTTAGTTATACCAATGTAACAAGTTTAAGTAAGCCATGTCAATCACGGCATCAGCAATTCGTGAAGTACAAGTGTTGAAAAATTTCTTTCCAATTTGGAAGGACGTAACATATTATTTGAGGGGTATATATAGTTCTTGAAACGTAAACTTTGTAATACGCAGTTATTACCGAAGTAAGCAAATAAAGTAAGAACATTGGTGAACTTCTTGCATTCAAAAGAAGTTTTAAGCCCCGCTTTATATATCTATAATATAATATCTATGTGGTATAAACGTTTCTCATTATACTTACATCCAAAAGAGCACACATATTTTCTCTGCCTATATTGCTGTCAACACCATGAGTTGCCATTACGTTTTCTATCAATTTCGTTTGATCGTCGCAAGCAGTCACGTCATTGGGCAAAAGTCTTTCCCATTTATTTCTAAGTCTTTCCAAAAGTTCTGGTATCTTTTTCAGCACCGGATACATGCACAAACCCTCAAATGAAGTGGCACCGAGAATAAGCGGTACATTATTACCCCATGCGCTTCTAATTAATTCCCAAATAGGTTTAGCTATAATAGAATCATCGCTTTCGTACGGTTCAATTGAAGGCATAAAGGCGGAAAAGTAACCCTTATATCGTCCCACAGTATCGAGATCATCTATATCAACCAATTTTTCGGCTGGTACTGATTGCAAAAATTTCAAAATGCTTTTATCGTCATCCCTAGAACCTTTGTAGCCTTTTCGGCATGCAAGAAGATAAGACATTTCGATTGCGTCATAACTTATGGCCCAATCGTGTAACATGCAACCGGATTGACAAATTGCTTTATGAAATAAATTACAAGCACGATCTGTGCTAAGCATAAAATGTACTGAAACTGCTCCTGCATCCTGTCCAAATAAAGTGATACAACTAACATCGCCTCCAAAATAGGAAATATTATTTTTAACCCATTTTAGGGCCAATACTTGATCCTTTAAACCAGCATTACCGGGAACGGAAACGCTAGGATCGCAAAGGCTGAGAAAACCTAGAATATATAGTTAAATAAAATGTGAATAAGAAAAAAATGTTGCGAAATAATCATACCGAACATTGACAAACGATAATTGAAAGTAACTAAGACTATGTCTTCCATCATGAAGTAATCAGGGCCACATATATAATCTTTGATGCAACTTCCCATGCTAAATCCCCCACCGTGTATCCACACCATGACCGGTAGTTTTGTCTTACTATGTATCTGAATATTTATAAAGTAATAATTTATGCGAATTCCTATAAAAAATCCTATAATAATTATTTCGCATACGCACATCTTTGCTAAATATGTTCAAATAGAGGCAATCTTCAGAGCCCTCTATTACGCCTTGTAAATTCTTTTGCATGGCTTTGCGATTAGAATAACGGCAATCCTTAATGCCGGTCCAAGTTTTAACTGGTACAGGAGATTTGAAACGTAACTGCCCCAAAGGCGGTTCAGCATACGGAATTCCCTCAAAGCTATAGTATTCGTGACCATACACAGAGATTAATTTTGCACCTCCAACTGAGCCTAGAGGTGTTACTACGACCTCGGCATCTTTGCTGAAAGAAAATTCAAATTTTTATAGTTTAATGCTTCACATTTAATTCCCAGCACTTATTTACTCAAATTCGCCTTCATCTGGTTTAACAGGTGCACAACGTTTTGCGCAGCTGTCATCTTTTCCTGATCCAAAAAACTTAAACATTTTAAGATGGCAGAACCAAACATACGAAAAAACCAATTAAGAAATATTTATATAAGAAATTACTATATAAAGAAAACTTGCGGATTTTGTTGCGAGTGATATCCAATGAAACTAACGAAAGAGAATGTCAATTAAAATGTTCGAAGACGGA